CTGCCTTTAACTCCAGCCTGGGAACCCTGACCCCTTCCAGCCTTTCATGCACCTGTATACACCTGGTACACATACACAAAAATCTTTTTTTTTTTTAATTCAAATTTCCACCATTGATATGTCTCCTCTACTCAAAGGCCAGTGGTTTTCTCTCTTCATCATTAGGTGTATAGTGTTCTTTTTTAAAAAAATATTTTATTTATTATATTTATTTTATGTGTATGCATGTATTGCTTGCATGTAGGTAAGTACACCCATATCATGCAATGCCCAGGGAGGACAGAAGAGACTTTTGGATCCCCTGGAACTGGAGTTGCATACAGTTGTTAGCTGCCATGTGGGTGCTGGGATTCAAACCCGGGTCTTCTGCAGGAACACTCAATGTTCTTAACCACTGAGCTCTCTCTCCAGCCCCATGTATAGTGTTCTTTAGGGGTCTAGGGATGTAGCTTAGTTTCCTTGCACTGTGGGGCACACACCTATAATCCCAGCACTTCGGAGATAGAAGTAGGATTAGGAATTCAAGATCATCTTCTGCTACTTAATGAGTTCAAGGCAAGCTGGAGCTACATGACACTCAAAAAAACTAAATAGCTGGGCGTGGTGGTGCATGCCTTTTAACCCAGCACTCGGGAGGCAGAAGCAGGAAGATCTCTGTGAGTTCCAGGCCAGCCTGGTCTACATAGTGAGTTCCAGGACAGCTGGGGCTACAGGGAGACCCTGTCCAAAAAGGCAAAAAAAACAAAACAAAACAAAAAAAAACACTAAATAGAGCCAAGGCAGGAGGGTCACTGTGAATTCAAGCTACATAGTTAGACCTTGTCTTTAAAAAAAAATTTTTTTTTGAGGCCAGCCTGGCCTACATAGCTAGTACCAGGCCAGCCAGGGCTACATAGTGAGACCCTGTCTCAAACAAACGAAAAAACAGAAAAAGAAATAATAGAGTTGCCAGATGTGGTAACTATACTTGTGGTCCCAGCATTCAGGAGTCTGACTCGGAGAATCACAGCCAAATTTGAAGTCAGTCTGGGCTACGTAGTGACCCTGTCTCAAAAAATAAAAAAGTTTGTAATGGGGTTTCTTTTATCTCCATAGGTTCTGTAGAAAGGACAGTAGTTTTATTTATTTTAATAGTCTTGGGTTCGCTGGAGAAAATGCAACTCAAAAGAGATACTCAAATTATCCAGGAATTAGGAAATATAAAGAACAATGTGATTTGCTTTGCCTTTATGACCTCCCCAATGAGCCTGGAAAATACTAAAAGTTATAATATCCATTGTTGGTGGAAACATAGGGAAGCCTTGATTTATACATTGCTGGTGAGATGTGAGGTGTTAGAGCTGGGGAAAGCAGTCTAGCCACATCTCTTAAAATACATACACAATTTGACCAGTGATTTTCATTCTAAAAAATCTAGTTCAGAGAAATAAAAGCATAACCCCTCAAGATGTTTACATTGTTTGTGTTCTCCAAGAACTGGAAGTAAAGACCCATTATTAGGTGGATGAAAGCCCAATACAGTGTGACATATACAAGGGATTAATACCCATCTGTTAAATAGAATTAATTCCAGCCATGCCAGATGAATGGGGGGAAGGGATTTCATGAACTATGGAAGTGTGAGGAGAGTAAGGTGTGCCAGAGCAGGCAGATAACTTTATAAAACAAGCCAAAAGAGAATTCTGCATTTATTGGTTGATGTATGTACCTAAGGTCTATGGTTTGTTTTTTCAGTCTCATATAGCCTATGCTTGAACTCACTGTGTAGCTCAGGTTGGCCTTGATCCTCCTGCCTCCACCTCCCAAGTACTAGGATTATAGATGTGTACCACCACACATAGCTTCAGTCAATGTTTTCGTAGAAATACACTTTATGCTGGCTTTGGATATGGTTTTTGAAGGGTTTAAGTATCTTAAAGTTTCAGCTAGAGAGGTAAAAACAATACATAAAATCCCTTTATACCTTTTTGGGGGTTTTTTGAGATGGAGAGTCACACTTGTAGCCCAGGCTGACCTGAAATTCATGGCAGTCCTCCTGCCTCATCTCAACCTTATTCATCTATGAAATATACCTTTAATATGAAATTATAGGTGTGTTTGCATGAGCGTGATGTCACTGCCATACTAAGTGGTGATTTGATTGGGGTGGTTAGATTCTCGGTGACCTTTTCAGTATTTTTGTGTGTCATTCATATTCATTGTGAAGAGCATGTTAGTCATATCAGGGTCAAAATCTATAGTTATAGTGAAAGAATATTGAGACGATTTAAACACAAAACATTGTTCTCAGACTAAGAATCCTTGGCTCACCCACATGTATATTGTCAGCAGAACATGCTTCTATCTAATCTTAAGTCAGGTGACTGGATAATGCTATTGTTTGTTATTTGAGGAATCTACGTAAAGTAATATTTTCTGATTTTGATTTGGATGCTTTCTTTTGTAAATCTTTTAGGCAAAAATAATGTGTTCTTCAATATGCAAATGCATTGGTTGTAAGAATTTTGAAGAAAGCCCAGAACGAAAGACATTGATGCACTTAGCAGATGCGGCAGAAGTAAGGGTCCAGCAACAGACAGCAGCTAAGACCAAGTTGTCCTCTCAGATCTCAGACTTGCTTACGAGGCCAACCCCAGCTTTGAATAGCGGAGGAGGAAAGTAAGTAATATTTTTTTAAAACATTTTTTATGTTTCTCAAAATCTGATTTTTAGGAGCGTTCTTTTTTCTTCTTTTTTTTTTTTTTTGGTCTTTTTGAGACAGGGTCTCCCTGTAGCCCCAGCTGTCCTGGGGCTACACTGGAACTCACTATGTAGACCAGGCTGGCCTTGAAGTCACAGAGATCCACCTGCCTCTGCCTCCCGAGTGCTGGGATTAAAGGCATGCACCACCACACCCGGCTAGGAGGGTTCCTTTTTAGGGGAACAAAGTTGAATTCATTCTCTTGGCTGGTAACATACCTGAATTTTCCATTTTCTTTCCATCTTCTCTACTTTTAAAGAAATTGAAGGGTAACAGAAGAACCCCTGTCAAATACTGTGCTATTCTAAATTGCACAGAGACGTTTTAGTTTGTTATGCTTAATTGGGTTTCTAACTACAAAACTGAGATGAGTAGATAGTTTGAGAACTGAAAGCCAGTTTTTTTGTACATGATCCAATGTTATCCCTCATACTTTCACATTTTCTTTCTTCTGCCTTTTCTGTTCTTGGAAAACTTTTCCTATCCTGTTATTGGACCACCCATCACACTATGATACTGTAGTCTTTTACTATTTCTGTCAGTAGACTGAGCTCTGGAGTAGAAAGATTTGACCTTAAGTCAAACAGCAGATTCAGTGGCCAATGCCTTTATACCAGCCACTCAGGAGCTAAGACAGGAATCACTTGGATGGAGTTCAAGGCCGGCCTGAGCAGCACAGCAAGACCACATCTCAAAACCAAAGCAAACTGAAAATAAAGAGATGTTAAGTATGAAATACATATGAAAATGAAATACAATTACCTAAAAGAATATACTCAACAGTGTTAAAAAATGGATAAATCAGGAGAATTAGATGAGCACTTCCTCTCTCTCAGCCTCTCTTTTCTATGACTACCTTCCCATGTGGCTGTGAGAAATGAACGCTTCTGTTGCCAGTGTTTGACAAGGCCTGGTGTCAGCAAAGATTTGGACTTGGATTTATGTTAGTGAATTTCAAAATAAAAAATTTTTTAAATTTTATTTCTTATTTTTATTTTATGTGTATGCATGTATTGCCTGCATGTAGGTAAGTGCACCCATGTCTTGCAATGCCCACAGAGATCAGAAGAGGCTGTCAGATTCCCTGGGACTGGAGTTATGGATGCTGCCATGTGGGAGCTGGGATTTGAACCCAGGTCTTCTGCAGGAAGAACCAGTGTTCTTAACCACTGAGCCATCTCTCCAGTCCAGATTTAGAAAATTTTAAGGGACTAAACCTTGCAAATGATCTATTATTTAATAAGTTTAAGTTGGGGGCTGGAGAGATGGCTTAGTGGTTAAGAGCACTGGATGCTCTTAGGTTACCTGATTTAATCTTAGGTTACCTGATTTACTCTCTCATGAGCTTTGAGACTCTAGCAAGCCTTAAGATGGATTACTAATTTGGTACACAAGAGCTCAGGTTTTTATGAATGAAACTATATATACAATTACATCTGGTTTTCCTTTTGTTGCACTTATTGTGGTGGAACCATACAGAATTTTGGTCTGCTTTTTCTTTTTGCTTTTCTTATACAGTATAAGGGAGCATGGTAAAGCTTTACTTTTCAGTGTTAGCTAAGCCTGTGCTTCAGTTCCCTGTAATATTCATGAAATTTCCTGTGTGTAAGGGAACAGTAGCAAATCCAACCAGGACTGCACTCAGGGGGCCTTCATGTATTGGGAAGATTTGGTTATAGAAATGTCTGGTATATGTGGTAGCATTCCATCTTTTAGTTAGCCAGATAACCTTGTCTTGGTAGTAAATCTTGTATTTGATGTTAAATGTTATATTTTTCAATAAACATTTTAAATATGCTCACTGATAAAAGCTCTTTAGAATATGCTTATCATGCAGATGGCAATGTTCCTCCTGCCAATGCGTCATGAAGGTGTCAGTAGATTCCCAGATCAACCTGTGTTCATCTGTTTTTCTTCCAAAACTCATTTCAGATTGCCATTTACATTTGTAACTAAGGAAGTAGCTGAAGCCACGTGTAATTGCCTTCTTGCCCAGGCAGAGCAGGCAGACAAGAAGGGAAAATCGAAGGCAGCGGCAGAGCGGATGATACTGGAGGAATTTGGACGGTGTTTGATGAGTGTCATCAACTCTGCAGGAAAAGCAAAGAGTGACCCTTGTGTCATGAACTGCTAACTCTTGCACAAAAGACAGATGGAGCTGTACAGAAAATTTAAGACACCAGGGTGCTTGATTTTCTGGAAGATAGTTTTACAATTACTGTATTTTAATTCAGTCCTTGTTTTAAGAGACCTTGAAACTACAATATTGAAACAGAAGAAATTTTAAATGAAGAAATTAGTACATTTTAAATCTTAGTTAAGTCTGCTTATGCCCCTTCAAAATTTTTTCTTTTTACAATTTTCCTTTATTGTATTATATATATTTTAATTTGCTTGGGTTTCTTAAGAACTAGATGTTCTGTCTTTCTGATTCTATTGACAAAGAACATTTATAAATGACTATTGTAATATAATTTATAATGTATGGCGTATGACTTTGTTCAGTAGAAAGGCCACAGCAGCATGGATGTTGCCCTTTTGGCTCCAGATCTAGAATATACGCAGATAGAATGTCTACATCAACAAATTCTTAATGAAACATATTCAAATGACATTTTGTTTAGAAGAGCACTATCATTTTAAGAAAAATCAGCTTTTTAGGGTGGATTCTGAAATAATGTTTCGTTGTCTCTTTGGGAATATCAGAAGGGGAAGAATCCCCATGGACACTTTTAAAATTAAAAAAAAAAGTTTTTTCTTTAAAGAAAGGAAAACAAAATATTAAGGGACAGTAACTAGTTTTCAGAGGACAGGCAGTGTGCATCTGTAATGAGGATGGCTAAACATGCTCCAGGATGTCTCTGTTTTCTTTCAGAGGTGGTATATGTTTGTAATAATTGTCAAAGTGATTATAGAGTGCTGCTAAAGTGATACCTTGTGTGAGTTGAAGCATTTTATGTCATGATGATGTAGAACTCATAATTATGAAGTACAACATTTGGCTTGGATGGAGAAACAAGGAATATTGAAGCCGTAAGAGTTGAATTTAGGACAAGATTTTTCATCTACACGGTTCTCTGTAGACTTTTGAATTTAATTAAGATGTCTTAATCAGTATGTGACTCTTAACCTGACTTACGGAAATGGGCCTCCTAGCGCAGCTTTCAAAACTGGAGAGAGCTGCCTTTATAAAGGAAGTGTAATTCAGCATTATTTTTAGCCAGTGATTTGGTAAGCTGAGGTATGTGTGTTCTCATATAATTGCTAAAATAACCTAAATCTTTTTCAGTAAAAAGCTGTATGAATTTAAGAGCCTATTATAATAGGATTCTTGATTTTATGACAAGAAAATAACCATGTGGTAATTCAGGCATTTTTTAGGTACCTTAATTCTCCATAATTATTAGCATATGATTACTACTCTTCCTACAAGGACTCTGTAGTTGTATGTAATAAGTGTGTATATATGTTCATATGAACATGCAAGATATAGGCAATAGAAATTAATACAAAGAAGATTCCGTTATTCATTGAAGTATCCTCCTTTTGAAATTTGGATTTATAAAATTAAGTACAGTAACTTTAAATGTAGATAGGGCAGACATTCTTAGCACCCCAAACTATTAAACTTTGTATAAATGTAAATTAGTCTAAGAGGATAAGATACTATCTAATCAAGTTATTTTTCAAAAGACTGCAATAAGTTTTTGGTCTAAACCTAAACTTTGTTCATTTTGTATATATTCTGTGTTAATTCTAATTGCACCGTTGTGATGTGTATTTATATACAGTGTGCAGAAAATGTTTGTGAAATTTTGATTATAATTGTAGATTATGTATGATGGCATTGCTCAAGAATGTTTTGCTTATAAAAATTTGAAGGTGCAATCAAGTGCTACTAGTTCTGATTTTCAAGACCCTTCTAAAGTATGAAGCCTTTTCCTCCTGTGTAGTACTGACTAAACAGCTTTTTGTATTAGGCTTTTGCATCAAATTGCTCAACAAAGTTAATAGCTACATTAATTCATCAATTTTAAAAGACTATTTGGGGAGGGTTGGGTATATAATTTTTTAGCCCTATTTACATCCCAAAGTAGAAAGAGTAAATTTATATTTACTAGAGCTGTTCAAAAAGTAGACTTTTCTATATTGTGAAAGCAGGGCAGAAGAGTAAACGTACAGAAAATAAACATTTATACTATTCTGTAAAAAAAAAGGCTTTGCTTTTTTTTTTAGTTTAATAACACCAATTTTTACTATTTAACATGCAGGAAGCCTTCTAAATTATCTGATTTTCAAGTACATTTGACATTACTTCGGAAAAGTTAAAGAAAAACAGACAATTCATTAAAATGAATTGCTTTGAAATGAGAATAAGTCTCTGCTTTTTTTCAGCAAACTCCAGAAACTCCATTTACTTTCTTTTTAATGCATGCTGTTCTTATGATACCTGCCTTTCTTAGTTTTCTTGTCTCTGAAGAAATAAAAACAACTTGTAGGTCTTATCTTTGGGACATGAACTGTACTGTTACAGGTACTGAAGCAAGCAGAGCAATGATTGCAGGGGGGGTACTGGTTTAGCTTCCCCATTTTTTGACATTTGATAACTGACATTTTTTTCAGTTTTATTTTAAAATATGAATTTAAATGCCTTAGAAAATTTTTCTATTTTTGTTCTGTAATGCTAACAAGAAAAGGAATACTTACTGCATAATTGAAGCCTACCTTTGGGCAGATTGCATCCCTCCAGCATTCTGTTTTGTTTTGTGGTGTGGGGGATTGATCTCGGGCCTTGGCTATGCCAGGCAAGTACCTACCACTGGGCTACATCCCCAACTCTATCTTAAGCATTTTACATAATATTTCTGGAGCAGCCACTCAAAGCCCAAGAAACCAATAAGCTAAAGACTTCATGATTAAAGCTACTTTCTTTTTAAATTAAAAAAAAAAAATTTTTTTTTTACCACTTCCAGGTATTGAACCTAGGATTCATGCATGCTTGGTCAAGCATTCTACCACCGAGCTACATCAAGCTACATCCCCCAGTGATGAAGCTATTTTCTACTATGTAAATTATTAATTGCCCCCATGATTTCTTTAGTACTTTATATGTAGATCAGATTTAAGGTTTTTATATTTGTTTTTGTTTTAGGAACTTTTTTGAGACAATATCTTCCTCATTAGCCTAAGCTAGCCTCAAATCATGGCAGTACTCCTGCTTCAGCCTTCCATACTTGTTGGATTATAGATACGTGCTACTCACCTGAGCCTTTTTTGTTTGGTTTGGTTTTTTTGAGGCAGGGTCTTATAGCTCGACCTTGCCCCAAATGCACTGTAGCCAAGGATGACCTTGAACTTCAACCCTCCTCTCTCCAGCTTCCATTCCCTGAATGCAGGGATTACAGGCATGTGCTATCACACCCAACTGTGTGGATTGTTGTTTTGTTGTTGTTGTTGCTTATTTGTTTCATTTAAAAAATATATTTTTATTTTATGTGTATGCGTGTATTGCCTGCATGTAGGTAAGTGCACCCATGTCGTGCAATGCCCGCGGAGGACAGAAGAGGCCATCGGATCCCCTGGAACTGGAGTTATGGACAGTTTTTAGCTGCCACATGGGTGCTGGGATTCGAACTGGGTCTTCTGCACGAACAGCCAGTGTTCTTAACCTCTGAGCCATCTCTCCAGCTCCCTATTGTTTCATTTTTAAAGGTTTGTTTTTTAATTTTTTTTTATTAAGTGTATGGAGGGGTATTTGCAAATGAGTGTAGGTACCATAGAAGGCTAGAGGTATCGGATTCCCTGGCACTGGAATTACAGGTCATTGTGAACTACTAGATGTGCTTGCTGGGAACTGAACTCTAATCCTTTGCAAAGGCTGTCTTTGAACCGCTGAGCCGTTTCTCCAGTCCCAGCAGTGTTGTTTTGTTTTGTTTTGTTTTGTTTTATCCAAGTGGTTTTCCATCCCTGATTGAAATCAGGGCCCTCCACATGCTAGGCAAGCACCTTACCACCTGAGGTGTGCGCCAGAGTCTAACAAGGTGATTTATTATAAGGTCACTGCGATATTATTGTAACTTTTTAATCAAATGAAAATTGGCAGTATTTAAGAAAAATACATCATGGGCTTGGTATGGTGGCACACGCCTTTAATCCCAGCACTTGGGAGGCAGAGGCAGGTGGATCTCTGTGAGTTCAAGGCCAGCCTGGTCTACATAGCCAGTTCCAGGACAGCTGGGGCTACAGGGAGACCCTGTCTCAAAAAAGACCAAAAAAAAAAAAAAACCATCATGACCAAGTGTAGTTTATCCCAGCAATAAAAGGTTGATCTAGAATTTTTTTTGGAGGGGAGGGGCTTTTCATAGAGATCCACCTGCCTCTGCCTCCCTAGTGCTGGAATTAAAGGCATGCCCCATCATGCCCCGAAGATCCCAGTATTTCTTTAAATCAATGTAATTCACTGGCTCAATACACACACACACACACACACACACACACACGCACATATGATCACAACATCTTAAAAATTTCAGAAGAGTTGTGAATATTGGCCGATCCTGAATTTGTATGCTTTAAAAAAATGTCGGGGCTGGAGATATGGCTCAGTGATTAAGAGCGCTTGCTGCTCTTGTTGAGGACTTGGGTTCATACTGCAGATTGGAAATGAATAATAGGCCTATGGTGATGTGATTGTCTGCATAGAAAAATCAAAGAATTTCACGAGAGCTACTAAGTGAATTTAGCAAGGTCAGTATGCAAAAGTCAATTGTATTTATACATACTAGCAAAAAGCATTTAGAAATGGAAAATTTCGGGGCTGGAGAGATGGCTCAGGGGTTAAGAGCACTGACTGCCCTTTCAGAGGACCTGGGTTCAATTCCTAGCAAGTCAAATAGCAACTAACAACCATCCATAACTCCAGTTCTAGGGGATCTGATGCCCTCTTTTAACCTCCATAGGCATTGCATGACACAGGTGCACTTACACACATGCAGGCAGTACACTCATACACAAAACAAATTTTAAAAAACAGATGGAAAATTTCAAATCACCATTTATACTAGCACCAAGAAAGTATGATTCATACACATAGATTGAGATTAGAAAAACGTTGACTTAAAAAATAAAAGAAAGGCATTG